GCCCATACATAAACAAGGCCATTACCAGCCAGGGTAAGTGGTGATAGAATTTCATGAATATCCCCACAAAAAGCTTTGTATATTTATAACAGCCTGCAGAGTCGTTTTGAACACAGTCAGGGGCCTTTCAGAGTGACTCTGGAGTTAAATTGTACAATAGGTCTGTGTCCCTGCCTGGGGACGGCAGCTCCAGGCGAAGCTGGATGGGCAGAGGGATGCTGACCCTGGCTGGGCACCCTCCTGGGGTGCTGTGGGTCCCGAAGCAGGGCTGACAGTTTGGTGGTTACTGCCCACAAAGTCCTCCAGTTTCCAGCTTAAAACGCCCTTCTCAGATGGCTTTTAAGGTGATTTTCTGTTTGCAGAAGGGCTCTGCTTCCCACCCGGGATGGAAAAGGGAGCAGGAGTGGCTGCTCCTCTGCTGGCCGACTGGAGAAATCACCAGAGGGCAAGAGGCTGAAGTTTTCACGTCTCAGGAAAAGGAGAAACAAATCTGGGAGCCATCAGACCCAAAAGACCAGGATGGGGCTGTGCCAGAGCTGCACAGAGAAGACTCAGAGCCCAGTGGGGAGCAGGGGCCGAGCTCAGACCCCAGACTGGGGCTGTGGGGCACAGACTGGTCCTGCTGCTCCCCGGGGCTGCTGATCCTGCAGCAATCCCACAGCATTCCTGGGACAGCCTGTCCAACAGCAGCAGAGCACGTGTGTGCTGCCAGAGCCCCAAAACCTCCCCACGAGGAACCCACACTCCACCTCTGCAGCTGCAGAGCAGCAAAGCCAGCTCCTGAGCACACTTACCACTCGAATTTAAATAAACAGGGGCTTTAAACTTAGGGAAACTTTGCTCTGCAACTCTTGCAAAACCTGAAGCCAAGCGATAGGCACAGCTCGGGCACGAGCCGTAATAAAATGCTAATTGCAATTCATAAATTACGTCGGGATGCCTGGGAATGTTGAAGCTCCTGGATGAAGTGTAGCATTCAATTTATCCTGTGCCTGCTGCCGACAGTGCTGCCAGCCTCCTTCTTGTCCCCCTGTGTTGTTTTGTCATCTCTGCACTATCACCAATTCATCACAAAGGCAACGGGACTCGCCGGTGTCCACCCACCGGGTGACTTTGTCTTCGCTACTCTATGACTTCTAAATTAAATTGTCAAAACACATTACTGAGAAAAATATCGCGAAGGGGAAGTTCTTTACCCTTTTCTCCCGGCTGAAGAGAGAGCAGGTTTGATTTGGAGCAAACATGTCTGCTTCATTATTCCTCCCGTTATCATATTTCTTCCCTCGGCGGCAGCAGGAGAGGAGTCGATACTCAAGTCTTGGATGACATGATGGAGCATCCCACAGGAGTTGTCTCGATAAATTCTGAGATTGCCCAGGAAAAGCTGGGGGGGGGAAGGTGTGTAATTTTCACTCTCTTTTATTCCTCCCACTCTCAGACAATTTAGAGGAGATTACGGGGTTTGCTGGCGTGGATTCCCCCGAGCTGGATGTTCCCACCCTGCCAGCACTGCCTGGTTTGGAATCAGCTCCTTGGAGCCCCTGCAAGAGAAGAAAGGAGCCCAGGAATGGGATTGAGGAGGGCACAGAGGTCCTGCTCCCACACCTGTGCTCCTTGGGTGGGGAGAGACCTTAAAGCTGATCCCAGTTTTAAGCCATGGCAGGGACAGCTCCCACTGCCCAGGCTGCTCCAAGCCTGGCTTGGGCACTGCCAGGGATGGGGCACCCTGTGCCAGGCCTGCCACCCTCACAGACAAGGATTCCCTCCTCAGATCCCACCTGACCCTGCTCTCAGCCAGTGTGATTCATTCCCCCTTGTCCTGGCAGCCACCCCTGTGAAAAGGCTCTTTTTGTGCTCCTTGTCAGCTCCCTGGTGTTTTGTTTCCTGCAGGGATCAGCACTGACATTGGGCTGCTCCCTCTCTGCTCCCCTGCACTTCAGGGGGTGTTTCCCCCCAAAACTGGAGCAGAATCCAGTCTGGGGAGCAGGGAAGGACCCTGCTGCTGGCTTCAACCACAGAAAATGATTCCCCTGGGGATGTGGAACAAGAGGAGCCTTTCCTCCAAGGGAAAGAGCTGTTGATTCCCCCTTTCCTCATTCCCACCTTGGTCCCTGGGCGTAATGGAGCAGCCATAAAAAGCAAGCAGCACACTCATTCTTTTGGCTTTGGACAATCCCAGTGTAATAGACACATATTGTTTATTTATTCTGCTGTAGAGCAAGGCGGGGAGGCAGTGCCCAATGTTTCGATGGGGTGTTTTTAAATGCTCCCATTCCCTGGGCCCTTATGATGCATTAGCCACCAGTAGTCAAATTGCCTCATATTTGCAATTTTATGGGTTCATTTTATCAAGCACACTGCAGCTGCATTCAAAGCATGGAAATAAAGTATTCCACTTCTGTTAGGCAAGAGCTGCTTCAACGCAAGAGGTGGCCAGAAAGCAGAAATCTCTTTTATTTTTCCCTGCCTCTGCTCCAGATTCACCTCCAGATATTGCTTCTCCTGTGCAGCAGCGACTGCTGAGAGCCCCTTCATGGCTGTGGAAGGTCCTGGGCACACCAGGAGCTCCACACCACTGGAATTATCCTGCTGGGACATCACTCCTGCTCCCTGGCTGCTTTGAAACAACTCCCAGCAAAGGTTTATCCTGTTTGTCCCCAAATCCAGGGCTCTGAGTGGCACCTCCCGAGCCAGCCCCAGACTTCAGCTCCCTCCGCGGGGCAGGGAAAGGCTGGAAGCAGCAAAACCATCAGGAATCAGAGGGAAAGAGACGTTTTCAGGGTGGATTTGGTGTCGGGCAGGTCGTGCTCAGCCCGTCACAAGGACTTGGGGTCACCCAGGATTTCCAGGGCCGCGTTTTTGGGGGAACTCGTGGGATTATTCCCAGCAGGAACTGCTGCTGGAGGAGTTTGCAGAGCAGGAATTTGCTCCCTCTCGTGGGCTCTGGGGCTGGAGGCTGAGCTCAGCACAGCAGGAAGGGCTGGGGCTCCTTGGCACGTTGGGAAATGAAACTCTGGAGCTCTGGGAGCTTCTGCTCCAGCACAGAAAAAGGACAAACAAACACCAGGGACAGGCAGCCCTGGGCTGGGGCTCCATTTGGCAGCCCCAAATTAACCCTGCTTCTCCGTGGGCTCGAGTTCTGGCTCTCCAAAGCTCTCAGCTCCTCCTCACACGACACTTTATTGCCTTTATTGTCCCTGGGCCTGATTCCAGCAGGATTTATCTCAGTTTCAGCTGCTCTTCAACCAGCTCCACTCATGGACAGTGAGGGGATGAATACACCCCAGATTCCTCTAATTTTCGGGACAACAACAGCTCCATCTCATAAATCCATCAGCCCCAGTGCCCTTTTTTCATTTCGAGCCCCTTTAATGGTGTATTTCACACTAAAATGTATTTCCCACTAAAATGTATTTCGCACTGAAATCCTCACAGCGTGTCAGGGGCAGCACGAGTGGGAAAACAATCGGGGCACGTGTGGGTGCACGGCCAGCCCCTTCCAGTGGGGTTTTTGCCAGCTGGGACAGATGTGGCACAGCTGGGACAGATGTGGCACACGTGGGACAGGTGTGACAGAATTGGGACAGATGTGACAGAATTGGGACAGATCTGTTTTGGGGCTCTCAGAGCCCCACAATGCCCCGGCCAGAAACCCACACTCTCAACCCCCGCAGCTCTAAAGCAGGAGAGCCACTTCAGGAGGGAATTTATGGGTTTAATTTAAATAAATATGTATTTTAAACTCGTGACAACTTTGCTCTCCAGCGCTTGCGACACCCGAACCTCAGCGATCGGCGCTGCTCGGGCACGAGCCGTAGGGAATAACACTGTTTGAATGACACATTAACAGTTTTAATAATAAAATATAAAAAGAAATCAGCCCCGCCGGCCGGGCATTGGGTCCCACAGGGAGCGGGCCGGGAAGCGGCGGCCCGCGGGCCCCCTCTAACGGCCCGCCGCGGAACACCCGCTGCCCCCGGCAGCTCCATCCCGCCCCGCTCGGACAGCAGCACGGCCCCGGTGCCTGCCGGTGTCCCCGGAGTGTCCGCGACCCCTCAGCCCTGCCCGGGCCGCCTCAGGGAGCCCCGAGCCCCGCGGGGCGGAACTACAACTCCCGGCATGCCCCGGGCGGCGCCGCAGTCCCAGCGCGCACCGGGACACGGGGGGACCGCGATCCCACAATGCATCGGGGCAACTCCATGTTAACTGCGGCGCAGCGGAGCCGTTGATCAACGGTCTCCAACGTCATTAAACGTCATTAAGTGTCATTAATAATTTATTGGAGGTTTATTAAAGATTTATTAGAGAAAACCTTAACTGCCCGCCCAGCGGCGTGAAGGGGAGGGTGGTTCTACGCCCTCACTTCCGGAGAAGCCCACCCGGGTAGAACTACACCTCCCAGCATGCCCCCGCGCCGCGCAGCATTTCCGTTTCCGGCCGCGGCGGGAGCGCCGCCGTGTCCCCGGAGGGACGGCGGGGCCCGGGCGGTGCCAGCGGCGGTGACAGCGGGCACGGCCGCGCCGGGCACAGCCAGCGCCGCGCTCCCCGCGCCGGGGTCACCTTCATGGGCGGGCGGGAGCGCGCGGCGCTGCCCGCGGCCTGCTGAGGCGGCGGCGAGGCGGCGGGAGGAGCGATGTTCGTGCAGGAGGAGAAGATCTTTGCGGGGAAGGTGCTGAGGCTCCATGTGTGCACCATGGAGGGCGCCGAGTGGCTGGAGGAGGTGCCCGAGGACACCACGGTGGAGAAGCTCAAGGAGCGGTGCCTGAAGCACGTAAGGAGCGGGAGCGGCACCGGGAGCGGCACCGGGAGCGGCACCGGGAGCGGCACCGGGAGCGGCACCGGGAGCGGCACCGGGAGCGGCACCGGGAGCGGCACCGGGAGCGGCGGGGATGGGGCTGCGAATCAGCGGAACGAGCGGAGTGAACAGTCCTGGGCAAAGGGAAACTGCCCCGTGAGGAAAACTGGTTTTTGTAACGCCCCCAAAGGCTTTGCAAAGCGGGGAATGCGCGGTGCTCCGAGTCCGGCCTTGCCGCGCCGCCGCTCCCCCGCGCCGGCCGGGGTCACCTTCATGGGCGGGCGGGAGCGCGCGGCGCTGCCCGCGGCCTGCTGAGGCGGCGGCGAGGCGGCGGGAGGAGCGATGTTCGTGCAGGAGGAGAAGATCTTTGCGGGGAAGGTGCTGAGGCTCCATGTGTGCACCATGGAGGGCGCCGAGTGGCTGGAGGAGGTGCCCGAGGACACCACGGTGGAGAAGCTCAAGGAGCGGTGCCTGAAGCACGTAAGGAGCGGGAGCGGCACCGGGAGCGGCACCGGGAGCGGCACCGGGAGCGGCGGGGATGGGGCTGCGAATCAGCGGAACGAGCGGAGTGAACAGTCCTGGGCAAAGGGAAACTGCCCCGTGAGGAAAACTGGTTTTTGTAACGCCCCCAAAGGCTTTGCAAAGCGGGGAATGCGCGGTGCTCCGTGTCCGGCCTTGCCGCGGCTGCTCCCCCCGCGCCGCCTGGAGCTGCCCCGCCTGGAAGTAAAACCCCTCTTTGGGGAGTTTTGGTGTTGGTGAAGGGGGGTTTGGGCGGAGATCGCTTGGGAACGTTTGGTTCCACACTTTGGCGGTGTTCTGCAGCAGTGTCAGATTCCCCTGCTGTGGGAGCTGGGCTCCAGCCTGGATTGTTTGTGTCTGAACACAGGAGGAGGGCAGGGACTGAGGAGGAGAAAATGCCTGTTCTGTTAAGCTCTGAGGTGTTTTTTGGGACAGCTCAGGTGTTTTTTGGGGGAGATCCAAGCTCTTCTCACACTCTCCCCATACTTTTTAAGTTCCCAGAGGGTCCCTGTGGAAGGGAGAAGGTGCCCAGGGAGCTGTGGGAGCAGCCAAGCTCTTCTCACACTCTCCCCATGCCTAAAACACTTTTTAAGTTCCCAGAGGGTCCCTGTGGAAGGGAGAAGGTGCCCAGGGAGCTGTGGGAGCAGGGAGGGAGCTCAGCCTGGTGCCCCCAGAGCCCCGGGCTGGCTGGGGCTGTGCTGAGTGACAGCAGCAGCGTGGCACTGGCAGCGTGGCCAGGAGCCCAGCCTGGCTGGCAGCTGCAGCCCTGAGCTCTGCCTTCCCTCCTGAGGGGTGTGCAGCCCCAGCCCCTCCCTCTGCCAGCACTAAAGCACGGTCATGTGAGTCATTAATTCACCAAATCACGTTTAATGTGATTCACTAATTCACCAAATCACGTTCAGTGTGATTCACTAATTCACATTTACTGGGGGGTTTGCCTTTAAAGTCTTGCAAAGGTTTTTTTTAACATAAAACCTGTGCAATAGAAGATCCCTGTAATTTGTAACCACTCAACATCCCTTTGAAGGGTTAAATTTTTATTTCCTGGGTGAAATAAAGGTGCCCAGGAACCTTTCCAGTACCTGAAGGAAACAGGGAGAGAGGGATGGAGTTGTACAGGACAAGGGGGAATGGCTGCACACTGGCAGGGAGCAGGTGTGGGCACAGTTTGATAGCTCAGGGTGATATTTGATGTCAATCTCTGCTGCTTTGTGCAAAAATCCATCCTGGGCTGGATTGCCATAACCATCATGGATAATAAACAGTTTTGTGGAGGGGTAAAATAGACCTGGAGGAATCATGGCTCCTGAATCTTGATAACACCTTGAGGTAATTTCTGCAGGCAGCTGCTCCAAGAGACATTCCTGAGCGTCTCTGACATTTGGAATCTTTCAGGAAGCAGAGGGAGATGTTTGTGGCAGGTTGCAGCTGGGGAAGTGGCCACTTTTCCCTCCATAACCTTCAGATGCTGGCTGATCTCTGAAGTGCCACTCTTGATGTCTTTATCTCTCCCAAATTTGGTGGTTTGGGCTCTTTTGTTAGACAAAGAAATAAATCTCTCCCACTGGTTTTTCTCCTTACCTGTAATATTTGTTTAAACAGATGGTTTAAACCACCCAGGTTTAATGGGAGGGAGTGTCAGGGCTATTTTCAAATATTTCTGTTATTAAAAGCAAACAAAAAAAAACTTTCTTTTTTTTTAATATATTTTAAAACAAACAAAGCCTTGTGGTTTACCAGGATCCCAAGCTTTGCAAGAGGGGTTTGGCATCACCAGGGCTCAGGATTTCAGCAGTTGCTCAGGCACCTGTGACAAATGTTTGTGCCCTGCCAGGCAGAGCAGCCTGCTGGGAACTCCAGAATTAAAAATCAAAGGTGACAAAGAGTAAAGGCACTGCTGGTCAGGTGTTTTTTCTATTTCCAGGGCATTTAAAGTGTGAAGATAAGCCAGATGTTTCACTCAGCAGCCTCTTGGGGTCTGTGGTGCCCTGTTAGTCTCTGCAGTTGTTACTAAAATGGTTGGAAGAACAGGAAATAAGAATTGACTTGAATTTTTTTTTGCTTAAACCCTCGCCTGATTAGTTTTATGATTAATTACTGCCCACATTTATTATGTGATTGTCCCCACATATTTTTTATATGTGCTGGGGGAAGTGGAATAGGTCTGTCCACCCCAAAGCAGCTCCCAGCTCCTCTTAGCTCAGGATCTGTCCCAGGCATGTCCTGAGCTGCTTTGCAGAGATGTTCCACTGATGTCCCCAGGCATTTTGGGCCCCTTATCAGCTCCATCACAGGAGCTGCTCCCAGCTCTTAATGTGTTTTTGGCCCTGCTTCAGCACTTCTTGGGCTGGAAGCTTCTGTTAGACAAAGCAGCACTCAGATATTCTCAGCTCAATCTCAGGCAGGCATCAGAGCCAGGTTCAGGTGAGGGGCTGGCATCCCTGTTGGAAAAACAACAGGGAGCTGAGTTTCCTTCAGCTGCAGGCAGCAGGAAGGGTGGTGGTGGATAAAAAGGCTCCTTTGCAGGAGGCTGGTGATGAGCAGCACCAAAATTAGGGATTTTCAGTGGGATTTCTGGGAATGGCTCTGTGGCACGAGGGGTGGACACTCTCTCCTGCAGACGTGGTGGAAGTGGCTTGCTAGAAACATTTGGAAGTGGCACCAAAAGCTGTTTGCTGTGGGCAGAGCAGGCAAGGTCAGTGTGGAGTGTCCTGTTTTGTGGTGAGAACAGCAGCAGCAATTTCAGGTTGTTATTTCTAATCTTGCCTTTCTGGAATTGCAAGCACTTTGCTTTCTTTTTTGCATTCAGACAAATTGGAAGCCTCTAGATGCACTGAGGGAATAATGTTCCTGAAATCTTTCACTGTGCATCTGGAGCCACTCTGGTGTGAGGAGGAGGCAGCTCAAGGCCTGTGTGAGCACTCTTTTTTTAGGATTTGAACTGATTTCCTGGTGAATTAATTGACAGGCAATTCAGAATTGCAATAAGAGAATGAGCACCAAAAAAAAATCCATTGTATTCTGATTATTTATGGTTGGGAGGAAGAGCTGTGAGTGGAACTTTAGTTCAGCCCTTTCAGCAGGAACCCAGGTTAGGGCTCCAGCAGCCAAATCTCTTGATTTCAACTTGAAACAAGGTGCAGAAACTGCCCAGCTTAAGGTCAGAGAAACCAAAATCACCTTGGCAGTGCCTTGTTTACTGAGAGAGTAAATAATAATTATGGGGTGAGGCAGGGAGTCTGCCCTGTCTGGACACTCCAAATGAGGACATGCATCATTCCAGCCTTCCCTCCTGTAAAACACTGCTGCTCTTGGTAGATTTGCATTTTTACTTTGTGAAACCAGTTTCTGAGGGACCTCAGTGACCAGAATTAACATGGCAGTGGGTCCTGGAGCATCCTTGCTTTGCTCCAAATCTCCAGCACTTCCAGAGTTTAGCGTGAGAGAAATGTCCTGAGAAAGCACAAATCCACCCACACAGGCACAAATCAAACCTCATTTTCTTCAATAAAATGCTTTATGTGCACTGACCTCTGGCTTAAGCTCTTGAGAAGCCAGGAAATGATGCAGAGTTTTTATGTGGAGGATCCTGAGTGCCAAGTGCAGGAGGAGCCTCCTGCCTGTCCTCTGATCTGCAGTGTTTGTTGTCTCCTGCAGTGTCTTCCTGGGAGCTTGGAGGATCCCAAAACTGTGACACATCACAAGCTGATCCATGCTACTTCTGAGAAGGTGCTGACAGACACAAAAACAGTGTTGGAGGAGAACATTCAGGACAGAGGTGAGTTAGTCTGGGTTTGAATTTTATCAGTCTGGAAGGAGGAGTTTGGGTTTCACCTGGCACATTCCAAACGTTTTCAAGATTTTCTCTCTGCTTTGACATAGGAAGCTAAATAAATGGAACTAACACAGAATTCACCTCCAGGAACAGTTGAATTTGAGGGGTGTCTTGCAGAGCTGCTCTCCCAGAGTCTCTAACCTGTGGCAGTGTCCCTCTCTCTCTCACAGATGTGTTGCTGCTGGTCAAGAAGCGCGCGCCGACGCTGCTCCCCAAGATGTCAGATGTGGTTGCAGAGGAGAAAGTGAGTCTGAAACACTTTGGGTTAACTGCTTTATTGATGGTGTGGGGAAGGGTTACTGTGATGTGCTCACCTTGGAGAGGCAGATGCTGCCAGTTCAGTTCTACAGGAACTGCTTCTTATTTCTTCCAGACTCAGAGGAAGCTGATTTTGCATTTTTAACTGTCATTCTGAGAACATTTGCCTTAAAATAAGACACACAGATACACTCAGTGAAAATGTTACAGATTTGATCTTTGAGCAAATGTCTAATAACTAAAATACAGTTCAGCAAGTGCCTTAGTTTGTTATAAAAACACAAAGAAATATGTTGGCTTGCTGTCAGGTTGCCTTCTGCCACCTTCTAACCAGCCTCTGGAGCTGGAATGTTGCCCTTGACTGTTTTATTGGAGTTGTTCCTGAGGGTTGATGCACATTGATGTATCACATAAACTCTGAGGCCTCCAAGTTCTCTGGGATACATCACTGTCCCTCTCAGTGCTGGAATTTCCCTGCCTGTTTAGGTGTAAGGACTGAAAGTGGGGCAGCTCTGTAATTGCAGGATGACACTGGAGCTGTTAGTCCATGGCATCACAAGTGACAGAGCACTGCTTGGTGTCTTGGGGAGGAATATGAAACTCTGTGCTGTGCCTAATGGGTTCTGAAAGCTGCTCCTGTTCCCTTCCCTGCAGAGGAAGCAGGAGCAGAAGGCTCCTGACAAGGATGCCATCCTCAAAGCCACTGCCAACCTGCCCGCCCGCAGCGCGGACCGCAGCGTGACCCACCACAACATGAGGGATGTGAGTGCTGCACCCACAGCCAAACAGGCTGCTTTCCTATTTATTTATCAATATTTTTAATCCACTTCTCTTTTTTCCTATAAGAGAAATTTAGATGTCCGTAATGTGTATTAAATAGCTTAAGGTTTAGACACGTGGTAATAAAATACCGTCCTAAATTATGATTTTAAAAGTTTTGTTTGTGCCTGGAAAAAGCTTCAGAGCATATTCAAGATCTGGAAAATGTGAAGTAACGGGGTTTTATTTCTTCAGTCTTAAATAATTCAGGGTTTCCTGTGGTTTATTTCCTTTCCTTGACCACTGCCCATGGGGTGTGGTAGAAATAAAAGGACCTTTCTGCCCAGGAGCTTTTGCTTCCATGTAACACTTCACAGGAAGGTCCCAGACCTCCTGAGAGACTAAACAATGAAAATAAAGCCCTAATAAAGCAACTTTGTATAGAGAGGGCCAGGCTGCTGCTGTGTTACTAACAATAGATACATTAAGATTCACTGATGGCTGCTAACTTCCTGTCTAAATGCTTTGACAGTTTCCTTTCTTGCAGTTCCAGACAGAGCTCCGGAAGATTTTAGTGTCTCTCATAGAAGTTGCACAGAAATTGCTAGCACTGAACCCTGATGCAGTTGAACTATTTAAGAAGGCAAATGGTATGAACATATCTTTAGAGTTGTTGGTTCAATCCTGGGAATTTGTTTTTGGAGCATAGCAATGGGCTCAGAGTGAAGTTCAGACACTGATGTGGCAGCAAAGCTGCTGAAAACTTTGTGGCAAAAGTTTCACCTTGTGGATAAAAATCATGGATATAAAAGGTCCCTTTGGGATGGGTGAGAAGTTCCATTTAAAAATTGTTGGTAGGGATGGTAAAGAATAATTGAAAATTCACAAGGATGTAGTAAAATGAGGAGAAATGTGGCTGTTGATCAGGTTGGCAGGAGATGCTCATCCTTGAGATCTGCTACAGCCAGATCCAACTTAATTTGTAGAGAAATGCTTTATAGATCTTCAGTGAATCTCATCTATTTAATTGTGTGGAAATCCCATGGTCATATGAGAGTTAGTGGCCTTTTGTTTGATATCTTGACCACATCTGGACAAAGTCTTTGTCCTGGAAGAATCAATCTGAGCCGGAGCGAGCTGAGTGCAGCAAATTACATGATGAGGTGGCAAACTGGGGGCAGAAACAAAAGCAGGGATGGGAGAGAGAATGGGGCTTGAACTTAACACATGCCTTTCCATTGACACAGGGCTTTATGTGAGGCTGGAACGAATCTGAGCTCTGTTTTCTTTGTGTGTGTGCAGCCATGCTGGATGAGGACGAGGAGGACAGGGTGGACGAGATCGCGCTGCGCCAGCTCACCGAGATGGGCTTCCCAGAGAGCAGAGCTGTCAAAGCCCTCAGGCTGAACCAGTGAGTGTCCAGCACTGCCTGGCACTTTAACCCACGTCTGCTTTAACACACATTTGCATCTTTTTGGTCTCCTTATGTGAGTCACCTCGGTGGAGGTTGGAGAAAGCCTGAACTCCAAGAAGTGCTGCCTCAGGCACAGCGCAGGTGGCACAAGGAAGGGGGAGCAGGGCTGGATGTGCTCTGCAAGGTCTGGGGGTCACAGGACTGCCAGGCCCTTGTGATACTGTTTGATAGTTTCCAAGGATCAAACTCACATTTTCTTCAGCTTTCAAGTCTGATTTTACAGAGGAAAGGGCAAACTTTGCCCATCCACACTGTAGAAATATACGTTGTGCTGATCTTTAAAAAATTCCAGGAATATTGTGAAGTCCAGAGAGCAACTGCAGTGAAGTAGGAGGTTATGTAGTTCTTCTCATGCCCCAAGAACAGCCAGCTGACTGCCTCACTCCTCAGGGGCGTTTGTTAGGCCATTCTTGAAAAATTTTGGTGATAGAGTCCACAACATATTGCAGTCACTTTTTGGGTATCTCAGGAAGACTTTCTGCCCTGCTGTCCTGCAGCTTTCATGCTGTAACAGAAAAGCCAAATAGGCAAAGGCTTTCCTTCCATGGATGGGCAATAATTCCTGTGTGTCAAATGGGATTGCACACTCCTTGCATTGTTGTTATCTTGCCTTTTTCCATTCTACCTGTTGGGGAGAGGGGTTTGGGAGCTCTGAGGATCCCTTAGCTGGAGCAGTGACACTGCACAGCAAGTGCTGGTGCCACACTGTGGTTTTGTACTCCCCTCTCCCTGAGGAGCAGAGCCCTTGGCACCTGAGGTGTGACTCCAGTGCAAATTTGGAACGTGCTTTGTTGGCACTTCTGTCCACAGCTGCAAACAGCCCCTGCTTCTTTGGGAAGCACAGCAGGTGCTGCAGAGTGAGGTGACCCCCTCAGAAATGCCTTTCAAAATCTGGGTTGCAGCTCCAAGCTGGACTTGGAGCCTCTCTTTTCCCAGATTCAGAGATGATTGTGAATGCCCAGAGAACTGAGGTGTTTTGTTTGCTCCAAAACTTTCTTTATGAGCTCTCAGGTGCTAATTAACCTGCAGGTGCATCCAGCATGGGAGTCAGTGAGCGTGGCTGCCTCATCCAGAGCGTTCCTCATCTCTGTGTCCCGTGTTTTCCAGCATGTCCGTCACCCAGGCCATGGAGTGGTTGATAGAACACGCCGATGACCCTTCTGTGGATGCTCCTCTGCCAGGTTCTGCTGCTGCAGAAGCCCCAGCTGAAGGTGCTGCCTCCTCTGCTGAGGCAGCTGCGGGTCCCAGCTCGGAGGAGGGCGGGGAGGAGGCCAAGGATGAGCTGACTGAAATCTTCAAGAAGATCCGCAGGAAAAGAGAATTCCGTCCAGACCCACGGGTGGGTGCTGTCCCCTGTGGGCTCGTGGGATTGGCAGGGATTTCATGGGCACCACAAAATCCAGATGTTGAGTTAATGAATGAAATGGGTCCTCTGGGTAGATGGGTGTTGTGCTGGCTTGGCAGTATTTCAGTGGAGGTGTTGTAGGAGTGTTTAAATTCAGGGATTTTGCCTCAGGGATAGCAGGATCTGCAGGAAAGGTGCTGTTACTTCTGCACCTAGAAACTCTGAGGGGACTGACATGAGCTCCAGACCCCTGGCACTGCTGTTATCACTGCAGCCTGGGAAGGAAGGGTGGCAGGACAGGAGCAGATCCTTTGGCTTTAGAAAAGGCTGGATGGGGTCAGAAAACCCTGGGGTGGTGCAAAGTGTCCCTGCTCCTGTCAGGGAGTTGGGACTGGGTGATCTCTAAGGTCCCTTCCAACCCAAACCATTCCATGATTCTGTGGAAAGGACAGAAGAACATGATTGCTTTAGGGAACAAGGCAAAGCACCAGCAGCAGATTGAAGTCTTGCAGCAAGGACAGAAGTTGCCCTTTCTTCAGAACACAGCATTACCTGCAGTGGGAATGTGTTGTTCTCCCACTGGGAGCACACCAGGAGGGGCTCTGTGACATCTGGCACCTTGGGTTTACAACTGGCTGTTATGACATTTGGGTTAAGAGCTGCAGACGTGTTTGATGGCCTGGCTGCAATTTCTAAACAATGAAACATTCTGGTGCCATTATCTGGGTATGTTTGTCTGAATACATCACACTCACCAGCAGTGTAACACAGCTGGGAAGTGAAATTAAATGGGGTGAATAGAATCACAAATGCACATCAAGGCTGATCTCTCAGTGAGATGTGAACAGGAGCTTTGTGACAGGAGAGGAGCTCCAAAATGAGGGTTTTTTCCTCATTTTCCTTCTCTTTTCTACCCCAGGTACACTTGCATTCAGCTTCCAGTGTTGAGGGTAGGAACTCCCTTCACTCCTAAGATTTTTTTCTTCTTCCATAATAAAGACACTTTTGGTATAGAATATTTGAAAACTTTGTTAATAAAATTACTGAGTGCTCTGCATGTGGAAATAATGAGGGGGTTTTACCTCACATAAAGCTGTGCACAGAAGGTGAAGGGATATGATTGCTCTCATTTCTGATCCAAATATAAGATTTATTAAGCTGTGGGCTTCTGCTCTAGGCTGTCATTGCCCTGATGGAGATGGGATTTGATGAAAAGGAAGTGGTGGATGCTCTCAGAGTGAACAACAACCAGCAAAATGCAGCTGTGAGTACAACATCCTTCCTGCTCAAGGGTCTGTCCCACTGATGCTTCTCTTCCTTGGGCTGGATCATGTTTTGATCTGTCAGAAAGTCAACCCCTGCTGAAAATGCAGGAGCACAAATTCTGTGCCTCCTTGAAACTGGATGCACAACTGGAATGACTGCAAAGGGTCTGGACTCCTCAGAGGCTGAGGCTGGGTTGTCAAAAAGCCTTTGAGAAACTTCCTCACCACAGTCTGAGATTGTGCTGTCATGGGGAAGGAGAAGGTATTCCCAAAATAACTGATTTGGGACAGGAATCAATGATCCAGGATAGATTCAACCATGCAAGTGTGTAAATTACCATTTGGAAGCAATGCTTCCACAGTTTCTGGAATCAGAAAACAGGAAGTTTTTCCAAGATTGATTAGTCCCCTGCTATATATGAAGGTGAATTTTGTGGACACACTGACAGCCAGGGAAGCCTCTCTTCAGTATCCAGTGCTGGCTGCTGTTGGAGAGAGGATATTGGCTTGGATGGTACAAGTGAATGTGTGAAAAGAAATGTACAGCTCAGGCTTTAACTGGGAGAGGGAAAAGTATTTTTAAAATGCCACATTAGCAAAACTTTTGAGTAGAGACACTTTGGTTCTAATGAAATCTGATGTGCCTGCTGATTTCTTTCAGTGTGAGTGGCTGCTGGGAGACAGAAAACCTTCTCCAGAGGACTTAGATAAGGGCATTGACACCAACAGCCCTCTCTTCCAAGCCATCTTAGAAAACCCAGTGGTACAATTAGGGCTCACCAACCCTAAAACTCTACTAGGTAAGTCCTGTGTGGGTTCCTGCTGGATTTGCCAGGAAATCCAGGCAGAGATGATGAGAGCTCCTTTTGGGGGATAGGGGCAGCTCTGGAGCTGTTGCTCACTTGCAGCAGCTCTGCTGTTTGTTTGCTTCATCCTGCAGCCCAGCTGAGCCCAGAGCAGGCCTTGGGGCTGTCCCAGGAATGGCTGTAATTCCCCAGGATTACACTTGCTGAACTCAGAACTTGAATAGCTGCTGGCTGCAGTGCTTTGTGGATTTAGGAGACCTTTTGTGTGCTCCCTGTGGCCACGAGGGGAAAAATCAGGAATGTCTGTCTAGAACTCTGATTATTTTACAGAAAAAACAAAGCTGTCTCCAGCTGTGCAGCTCCCTGTGTGTGGGGCCTGATCACTGGAACTTGTGGAAAAATATTCAAACAAGAAGGTTGAGCTGAGGCTTTGCTTATCAAAATGGAGATAAAATGGGAAAACATCCTTCCCCTTGCTTGAGTTTGAGCTCTGTGGTAAAGTCTGTGTGCTCAGGGTCAGAAAGGCTGTGGGCACAGTGTGTGCCCAGCTGAGGAGACTGACAGAGCCTCAAATCCCTGAGGAATTGCTCTTTTTGACAACACAGAACAATGACTGCCTCTGTCATGTAGATATAAAAAGTTTTGCATTTAATCTTTGGCCTCAAAACTTATTTAAAGTCATGCTTTTAAATAAAGGCTATGTGCACAGCTCATTCAAGAGAGCCTTTAAAAATACTACTTTAAATGTAATTAGGAGAGTTTGCAAGCCTTTAAATAATTCAAGAGCAGAACCTTCCCACTCTTGATTTCTGAACAAATGGTCTCTTCATTTCCAACAGGGGTTCCACACTGCAGCTCAGAATATAAATAGAAAATGAAATGCCATTATAGGAGCTCATGGAGCTTGGATGAACATCAGAGAATACATTCCTAATGATACATCTGCAAATTGCTTATGTCACAGGTTTTAATAATGAGGGTTTGCATTTAATGAGCTCCTTACAGAATATCGATAAATCTTCAGTTTTAAGCCTGTGAGTCTGTGTAAAAGAAAATAGTTCAAGTGCTGAAAGGGGAGATCTGGATTTTATTTTGGGCTTTCCTGGAGGCAAGTTGCATGACCTTGAGCAAGGTATTAATGAGGGGCCTTTCAGAGGTGCTGGGCACTTCCAGCTCCCACTGATGGCACTTGAGCTTTGTGCACTGACACTCCTGGGAAAATGAACCCTGACCTTGGGCCAGGCTCTTACAACACTGACATTTTGGTGACTGTGCAGCTGCTTCTTTTGTCCCATTCTGTGATGACTGGCTCCAAATGTCCAGGAGCCCAGCTCAGTGGCTGTCAAAGGGCTTAAATCAGTGCCAGGCCCATTCCTCTGCCAGGTTGGCAGCTCAGCCCTTGCAGTGGCTGCCTGGTTCCTTCAGCATGAGTAGAAGAGTCAAAACTAGAAGCAGGCAAAGAAAACGACAGAAAGGCAAACAAACAGCAAAGCTTATTGTAAAGACAGCAGCGCTTATTGTAAAGACAGATTATTGTAAAGACAGAATATTAAATATTTGGACCACTTAGCACAGGGAACAGGCAAGGGGTGACTGTGCTTTCCATGAACTGTCTTGGTTAAGTACCAGGGAGGAAAAGGATATTGGTGCAAGAAATCCAGGCTGGGATGTGGGAAAAGCTTTGGTCAGAGGAGTGGAGCTCCAGGAGAGTGTTCAGGAAGGGATAAATTTCATGGCGTGATCCTGGAGACCAAGACCTGGACACATCTGTTAAAGCTTTACCTTTTCAGCCTCATGTCCTTGAGGTTTTGTGGGCTGGCCTGTAATCCAGGCTGAGTATTTAATCACTGTGTGCAGAGAGTTCAGTGCTGAGAAGGGAGGAAAGCACAAAGCCTGGAGCATCATCCCAGGCTGGGGACCCAACGTGTATCCCCGGCGTTCCTGGGCACTGCCTTTGATCTGTGGCTATTTCTCCCTGTCCTGCTGTTGAAACCTCCCAAACACTGAAGGACTAACTGTTGCAATCCCTATTTCTTGGCAGCCTTCGAGGATATGCTTGAAAACCCCTTGAACAGCACTCAGTGGATGAACGATCCCGAGACGGGGCCGGTGATGTTACAGATCTCCCGAATCTTCCAGACACTGAACCGCACGTAGAGGGAGCTGCCAGTGCACTGTGCCACCTCCCCCTGCCCCTCACTGCCCCCCACCTCCTCAGGAGGCTGCCTGGATGGTTGGGAAGGGGTGGAGGGAAGGGAGGGAAGGGGGAGATCCTGGCTCGAGGGGTCTCTCGCACGAGAGCTTTCGTAGTTACGGCCAACAGGAGTGAGTTGCCTTGTGGATTTAGTGTTAGTGGGAGAGGTTTGAGGATTTGTTCATGTTTTCAGGTATTAGGTTTAAAATAAAGTATATATATTAAAAAAAAAATAGGAAAAAGGTTTTGTGAAAACACTTAAGAATCTGATTGTTGGAAAGAAATATTGCTCGTTCAAAAGGCCTGTGACAGTTTTCTGGCCAGTTTTGCTAGGATCTGGCTGGTGTTTACAAAAGGTCACTGACCACTAGCATAGGATATTAATCATCTCCATACAGTATTAATTTATAGCTCTTATCAAATTGCAAAACTGCTTTTAAAAAAAAAATAAATTGATTCTTAGGAAATGTTTTTTAAAAGCCCAAATCTTGGGAGAGCAAGCACATTTCTATCCAAGCTTGTTCATCTGGCATTCTAATTTAAGCAGAATCATTCAGAGATGGAATTCTAATAAATAGCATTACTTTTTCCTATTTATTTGCTGCGTTAGTGTTGTTGCAGTCCCACTGGGGTTGTACTTGCAGGAGGTTCTCTGTCAGGTACCAGAAAGGTGCAGGATCTCTTTCACCACAGAATTCACCACATCAAGACTTGAATTCCCAAGTGGCTGCAATTCCTAAGCTCACACTCTGCCATATCCCATTGCAAGGAGGGATATGTTCACATAGTGGTTTTTTTTCCCATTTTTTGTGCACAGTTTTGGCAAGGGGCTTGTGGGGGTTTTATTCTGTTTACAAAAACAAAAGCAGCTGTATTGCATGGGGGGGTTTGCTGGGGTTCTGTAAAGCAGCAGAACCACACAGGTTTTTATCTTGTTTAAGGTATTTAAAGCACGCTTGAAATTGCTATCTTTGAGTTAGAAGTGGGTTTTTCTTTATACTTATTTTTACCATGGTCATACCAAGAATGTCAGGCTGGATCTTTCCTATTTTGCCAGAAGACTGACTTGAGATTTCAGGGAGGAATTCTGAGCTGTTAAGAACAGAACTGACTCTGAATATCCAGCTGGTGTTTATGACTGGGCTCTGCAGGTGTTACTTTTCTAGCAGTCTGCTAAAAAAAAGGGGTTTATTTTCAACTCAGTGCAACATGATTGACATCTGTCATCATCCCTGCCATGCCTTGTGCTTCACAGCCCTGCAGGAAAGGCAGAAGAGGCAAATCTTGCAGAGAAAGCAGGTGGAGACCCTGTGCTTAAACAGCACAAAGGTGTCCTGTCAGACAGGGAGATCCTGAGCAGCTCTGCAGTCCCCTCTGAGGTGTGGGAGGGATTTATGTGCAGTTGGGGTTTTTTTAAACAAAAATGCAGCAAGATGCAACCCGAAAGCCTACAACAAGTTTTGGCCTGAACTTGGCATCTGCTCTGTGCTGTCATGCAGCTGAGGCACTGAAGTTGCCAATTTCTCATAATTAATATGAAGGGTGGGGAAATCAAAACAGCCTGAGATTTTATCTTGTCTTACTATCCCAGGATTCTTTTATTTTTTTCTAATTTTGTAATTTCATATTAAGCTTTACAGTTGATGACTGCTGAAATATTTACTTCTACATTTAGAAATTCCAGGCTTTATAGAGATGTTTCTTCTGTTCAAATTGGACAGTAAAACCATTTTTGTGGGCTCTTGCTAAGAATAGACTGACAGCATGACATGAAATTATAACCTTGTCCTGTAACTGAAGCCAGGAGCCTGATCCTGCACCCCAGTGAGCTCAGCACAGATACTCATGAGTAGCTGGACTGAATATTGTGGTCTTATGAAAGGTTTTGATTATTTAATCTTTTTTTTTTTGCTTACTCCTGAAGCTTTTTGCCTGTAATAATACCAGAAGACTCTTTTTACTTGAAGCTCTTAATGTTAGAGAGAAATGTCCTTCTCTACAGTCAGGATTATGGTCAATATTCCTTTTAATGAGTGTTTTTAGAAGGCAAAGTTGGGAAAAACTGCCTAGTAGTTTGGTGGGAGGTTTTTTGGCTTCTGAGTGGATAAGGAGAGGTTCAGACTTGGCAAACAGATCCTTTGGTGAAGTTGTGGCCCTTGAAGATTGTAAAGGCTTGGGAAATGCTGGGTTTGATTTCAGGAGTCCATGGTTGGACTGCAGAGCTCAGAGGGATGAGAGTGCTCAGAGCTCCCTTGGAATGGCAGCACCCCTCAGTGCCACTGAGCTGGAGATAAAGTGTGGGGGAAAGCATCAGGAAAACAGATTCTCCTCATGTCATACAAGCTGAGAATGCCCAGGTTCAGCAGCAGCAGTTGGGAGACCCTAGGGATAAAGGAATTCTGCATTTTAGGGTGCTGGGAGGCTTGAGAAGATGTGGGTATTTCTGGATTTTGTTATTCCAGAGCTCAACACTTCCACAGCTGAAGTGTTGTTTGGGATAGCTTTAACAGACCCTGCTTGGCTTGTGAGAGCTGAAATTGCAGTGGCCAAAAGCTGAAGGAGGCCAGAATTTAGGAAGTGTGGTGTTTGCAGCAAGGAGTTGATTCAAAGCCAGCAAAAACTCCCCTGAGGTTGAAGGAGTTAATCCAGACATCGGTGGTGCTGGGTGTGAATTACACCCGGGGCTGTGTCCCATCACCCCAGGGCTGGGATTGCTGCTTCATCCCAGAAAATGCAGAGGGGAGTTGAGTCCACTGTGCTGGGAATGGCACAGATTGGCCCAGTTTTTGGAAAACCTGCAAAAGCTGAGATGTCACCACTCTGGAGCTGGAACTGCAGCCATGGGGCACAAGGAATGTGTGTGGCTTTGCCTGGTGAGGAGCTGTGCTGCCCCTGGGTGCAGGACTGGGGGATCTGCCCTGAGGGCCACTGAGAGATCCCTGAACACAGCAAAGATTTTTGTTAAATAAAACCAGCAGGTTTTGTGAGGAAGAACTGCTCCCAGCAGGGAGGATTTACAGGCTTGGGTCCTGTGCTTGTACCTCGGGTGTTCAGGTTCCAGCTAGCACAGACATGTCAGAGTTAATTTTCTCTTAACGTGGTCAGGGGAATATTTGGAAGCCTGGGAGCTGGAGCAGGAAAGGGATGGGGTGGTGGGTGACTAAGTGTGATTCTTACAGTTCCTGCTCTCTGCCCCATTGGTAGCCAGAGTCTTGTACCTTTTGGTGTTGCAGGGGGTGTTGCAGGCCTCTGCTATTTATTGAAATGTATCTAACTTATAATTGTGTCACCAAAACACTGATATTTTTAATGGCAATGTACTATATGGAAGTTTGTTCTCAGGGCTTCGTATTTATACTGTCTTTTTAGGGGGATGTATTTAAAGGGATGTATTTGGAAAATAGGCCAGTGGCTACTTTACAGCTTGGACCTTGATTGTCCTGACCTGTGAGGCTGAGCTAGTGTAACCCTCCTGCTGAACCAGCCCAAAGAATCTGCCATTCCTCCTCCCCTGGGGAGCAGGGACACGAGTCTTCCTTTAGGATTGCTGCATCCCTCCATGGGAGTGGTCACACGGGGTCACCCTGCTGGGCCTTGCACCGTTGCAAGGACGTTTGTGTTCTCCCTGCAGCTGCAGAATTGACCTGCAGAGTTCCCAAAGCAGCCATCAGGGCATTCCTGCTCTGGGAAGGTGGGAGGTTCCCTCCTGCTCGTTCCAGGGCCTCCAGCTCGTGGCTGCTCCTTGGCAGCCCCTGTCACAGACCTGACCCAAACCCTGACACTCCCCCTTTCTTTCCTCCTCTCCTGGAACCAAACTTGCATTTCAGAGATTGATTTTCATATCCAAGTAACTCTTTAGTGGTTATTGAAATCCTTTTTAGTTAGGACTGTTACAATTAACTTTTTTTAGGTGTTCACACCAAAACAAGCATCGCACCAAACGAATGTATGGCAGCACTGTCAGCAAACATTGCCTGTGGAAGGGGCACAGGTTGCTGTGAGCTCTGCTCCAGTGGCAGTTTTCCCAAAGGCTTGTGCACAGGACAGCCAGTGTTTCATCCAAAGGAACCATCCTGGTTTTCTACTTTTAATAATAAATACCATTTTTATTAACCAACAGAACAGCGGCGCTTCCAGCTGGTATTTCCACCCAACTGAGAGTCCTGGAGCTTTGGGGCTGGAGATCCTGCCTGGACCCCCCTCTCTGGGCCAGCTCCTCCTTGGAAGGATTTGTGCTGGCTGTGGCAGGGCCCTGGGGGCAGTCCCCACCTCCCTGCACGGGGTGTTACATCCATGTAACATGTGAATGTTCTCGTGGTGGGTCTCACCTCCATCCCCACATGCAGTGTAGCAAAAGGGTTTTTTTAAGGACCTCTTGCCCTAGATTTGAAGATCTTCAATGCAGATCCTGTTTGCAGCATGTGAACTTCAGTAAATGTAAATGCATTAAATTCTTACTGAATTTGGGTATAGTTTTATATCGAGCTCTGGGGAGAGGGAGGAAATTGGATCACGTTTTAAACGAAGCCCCACAAAGCCAAGTCTCTGTTGCAGCAGGTAACAGAGGCCTGTAGAGATTTTTAATTTGCATATTTTTATCATGGCTTAATGAACTGTACACGAATGTGATTTGCTAGCCACGAGGCAGCACCAGTAAAATTACATTGCGAGGTACTGACTTCACGTTTTCTCATTTCACCTGTGTATCCAGCAATTAGGTACTGCATAGGATAACTTTGATCTGGCTCTGATGCCGGCGTGTGGCATGCACAGCTCTTCCTAAGGTGTAACATTACTTTTCTAAGCTTAAACTAGGGCAGACATCCCTGAGCCTGTGGAATTCGGGATTCATTCTGGCCACGCTCGCGTGGGTCGCTGACCTCTCCCTGAGCAGGAAAACCAGCAGGATTTGCTCCCTGCAGAAATCCTCCAGGCCAAAAGCAAGGAATGCTGCTAATTTGTGATCATTTCAAGCAGTTGCTGTTCTGAAATATGTTCCTGGGAGTCAGGGAGGTGTTGGCAAAGCCAGAGCTGTTCAGCCTGGAGTTGTTTTGTGTGGAGATGTGGAACCCACAGCTGGGGCTGGAATGAATGCTGAGGCTTTAAACCTGCTCACACATAACCCCAGACACTGATGTTGTGTGTGCTGTACATTTATAATATATCTTCAAAATAAAGTTTTTTGATTTATTACAAGGTGTTCGGAGCCATCATTTGCAGGAGCAGCAAAGGTTTGTGAATCTACATTGTTCAATGGTCCTTGTACCTGCAGGTTGCTGGAATTATTTCTCAGAAAGTGGGGTCTGAGAGCTGCTCATACAGAATTTGTGCAGGAAATCCTGCTTCAGCAGCTGGTTTTGCACCTGGAAGGTGTTTCTCTATTTTTCAGGAAAAGTTGCACTTGGGGAGCTTTATTGCAAGGGCTTTGTGAAACATGATCTGGTGATCCCCTGGGATGTTCCGATGCCACTGAAGATGGATTTATCTTGACAGTTGTTGACTGACAAATTGAAATCTTTTCTTTCCCAACAAGGGAACCCTCATTAAGGAAAACAGCTCCAGCAAGCAGCAGCTGGTGGGATGCAGCAACTTGCACGTGACGTAACCAAAATTCCCATCTGGCTGTCGTGGTGCCAGCGCTGCTGTGGGAGATTGGGAAGCACTTCCAAGCCTTGGCCCTCTCTCTGGGTACCTTGGAGGCAGCTGATGGTGGTGTAAATGTGTGGGTTTATTTCTGTAAAGGAGAGAGAATCTGTAGAGTTCATTTGGGGTTTTTTGGCGGTTGGGTTTTTTAATTAATTAGCATTTTCTTCCATGTTCAGGGCAAGGAACCTGCCAGCAGCCTGTTTGTTTAGCAGTTACAGCAACTGCTGAGGAGTTGAGAGTGATTTTCATTGTGTCCCATGAGAGATGGAGGATTAGAGTGTGAGACATCAAAATGCTGCTTGTTCAGATCACGTTGGTAAATGTGGTGGTGTTGAGAGCAGGTGTTTGTGGTGTCAGGTCCTAACTCAGGTTTGCTGTAATGCACAGCAGCAGGACAATTCAAAGCTTTGGCTCTCTGCTAATTTACAATTAAAACAAAAAAAATTACCTTAAAGCAGCTTGGGGATGTATCATTCGATAATGACACTTGTGAACCTGAACTGGTACAGCAGGTCTGGGCAGAAATCCACACCTTAAAAATGAAGAAGTGCTGCTGTGTGAGTGACAGGAGGGGCTGGCATTGGCGTGTGCTTGGCAGCTCCCGCGCGCCCTCGGCGCAGGGACGTGTCCCGGGGTGCTCCAGCAGGGATGAGCCACCTCCAGCAGGGCCCAAATCCATCCCAAAGGGCGGGGAAGGGAAGCACAGCTTGCACTGGGCTGTGGAGGAGCAGCTTGGTGTTGGCAAGGTGAGCCGCTGCTGACAGCACAGCGGTGTGGCAAGAGCCGTTCCCAGCCTCCACGGGCGGCGTGCCGGTGCCATCCCAGGGCTGGGCTGGCTTTTCTCCTTCCCTGTGTTCTCTCTCTCCCATGAATTCATGGTCATGGTCACGCTGCCCCATAAAAGAGCAGAATATTGTACAATTGTCCATCAGCTCCTCTAGACAGGGTTCCAGTGACTGCCCAGAGAAGGTGTGGCTGCCCCATCCCTGGAAGTGTTCAAGGCCAGGTTGGACGGGGCTTGGAACAACCTGGTCTGGTGGCAGGGAGTGGAACAACATGGTCTGTAAGGTCCCTTCCAATCCAAATCATTCTGTGATTCTGTGAAACAGATGGAAGCAGCAGATGCTTCCCCTGGGAGCTCCTGTGCCCTGACAGCCCAGTGAGCTCAGACCAGGCTCCGTCCCCTTGGTGACAATCCTGTCATGTGCTCTCTGCTTGATCATGCCTTCCTTTAAAATTCATTTTATTATAAGAGGAATTGGCCAAAGGAAGCAGCAGCTCTGGAAGCTGCTGGGGATGATTTTGCATAGGGAAATTGGGTTTGGAGCAGAATTAAGGGAGAAATTATTTTCTCTTGTAATTCAAAAGCTTTCACTTCAACTGTAGGACTTGTGAGCTGGACGTTGTTCCTGGAAAATGGCTGGAAGCAGGGCAGGGCTGCAGGGTACGTGTGTGAGCTGGGTCTGAGTGCCAGCGAGTGTGACCTGAGCTGGGACACAGCCCAAGCCCTGCAGATCCAGTGTCACCAGGAATCCGGGCACTGCTGGGGCTGGGGGAGGGACTCCAGTAACTCGAGATGTGCTGGACCAGACCACGCTGCACTGAAATAAACCTGCAGAGGTGACCAGCTCTGTGAGCCAGGGCTGTGATTCAGATGCCTGGCAGAGGAGCTGGTGCCCATTTAGAAGGGCTGAGTTCAGAGCTGTGATGCCAGGGGGTCACTGGTGGCTCCAGCAGCACATCTAGCTGTGGGCCACCTGTGGGATGCAAACCCCACGTGCTGGGGTCCTGCACCACCCCTGCAGCCTGGGATGCAGCAGTGCAGCTTCCCCAGTGGCACAGGGAGAGTCCCAGCTCCCCAGCAGGTTTTGTTACCCATCCATCAGCAGTTGCATAAGGAGCTCTCCCACAGTGGGAAGCAGCGTGAGGCAGGAGCTGGTTCCAGCTCTGGGTGCCCGATGTGAGCAGGGGCTCCAGAGGCCCCTCCAGGAGCTGGTTCCAGCTCTGGGTGCCCGATGTGAGCAGGGGCTCCAGAGGCCCCTCCAGGAGCTGGTTCCAGCTCTGGGTGCCCGATGTGAGCAGGGGCTCCAGAGGCCCCTCCAGGAGCTGGTTCCAGCTCTGGGTGCCCGATGTGAGCAGGGGCTCCAGAGGCCCCTCCAGGAGCTGGTTGCAGCTCTGGGTGCCCGATGTGAGCAGGGGCTCCAGGGGCCTCTCTCCTGATCCCTGCTGAGGGCTGCTGGAGCCTCTTGGGGCTGTGCAGGTGTGTGGCTGCTGCTGCACCCTGAGACTGAATTATTCATGGCAGACTTGCTGTGCTTATGCATGATGTGGTTTCTTGGCTTTTATGAGCTGTAGCTGGGGCATAAACCACATTTATGTAGCCGTGAACCTCTTTTTGTCCTCTGAGGAAGGGCAGCTCCCCAGGGAATCTGTGCCCGGGAGTCCCAAACCCGCAGCAGCTCCCACACAGCCCAGCTTTGGCTGAATTATTTATTGAGCTGCTCCTCGATGTGGCTGTGCAGGACAACCCCAGGGCTGTGCTGACCCTGCTGCTTCTGCCATGCACAATCTCAGCCCCTTCCCACTGTGCAAGGGCTGGAGAGGAGTTTTGAACAGGTCTGGATTTCTTGGTACATGGGATTAGATTTTACCTGTGTCCCCATGGCCTTAGTGGGAGTGAGGCTCTGGGAGCTGCTGGACCCCCAGAAGCCCTGCACAGCTCCTCCATGAAGTGTGCAAGAGAAGGGAATAGTTCAGACCTTCAAAATCATCTGTCAGAGGACACCAGCCAGCTCCTGCCATGCTGTTGGATTGGTGTTGCAGCATCCCTGTTCCATCTGTGTGTTCCCCTGCACAGGAGCTGGTTGCCAGGCTGCCTGGGATGAATCATGGGGTGCTCTCTGCCTGTACCCCCCTGCTCCTGGCATCCTCACAGACAGGCACTTAACTCCCCTGCTCCCACACATCGGGAACATTCAGCAAAAAAAGAAAAAAATGCACAATCCCCCCCTGCAATCTGTGCTTTGGCCTCCAGTGAACCTTCCCCATCCCTCCTCTCTCCTTTCCTCCAACAAGCAGCAGCCCACTCCTCCTGCCAGCCCCCTCTCCCCACCGCATCAGCCCCATGCTGCTGCAGCCCAATCCATAAGTGGTTTGAAGTATTTCCATCCAGGCCAGGTGTCTGGAAGTAGGACAGAGCCCTTCCTGCTGGGCCCTGGTGCTGCAGCTCTGGCAGCCACGGCTTCCCTGGGCCGAGCAGTCACTCAGATTCCCTTGGGTTACCGTGGGCTGTATTTATAGTTTGCTGGGCTAAAAATAAAAGCCCCAAGTGTTGGGTTCCCTGATCCCAGCCTCATGGAAGGAGGGATGCCCAGGAGCCCCCGGGAGGGGTCTGGTGGGGGGTGTTGCCTGGGGCTGTGATGCCCTGGGGGCTGCTCCCATGGAGGGTTGATAAAAGTTTATTTTTTGGAGATGATGTAGCTGCTGCATCACTCACTGGCTGCTCTTGCTCAGCACAGAGCCTCGTGCAGGACTCTCATCCCACTAAAAATACTTCCTCTGTCTCATCAGGCTCAGTCTAACAGAGCCTGAGTGGAGGGGATGGAGCCACCAGTGCTCCTGGCTGTGGCTACCAGGTGGCACGTGAGGAAGCCCTGCACTGCCCAGCACTGAGAAAATGTGCTGCCAAATCCCCCTGAAAATGTCTGTACGTGCAGCATTGGTTTGTGCTGGTGCTGAACCCCGTGTGTGTGCCCAGCAAACATTCCTGCCTGCTCCTCACTGGTTTCCAGGCGAGGTCCCTTTTCAGCTCCCACCATGCCAGACACAAGTGCAGGGCAGTACAGGGCAGTGTTCCAGAGGGAGGATGTGCAGGAGAAACACGCCTGAGCACGAGGGGCCCCATGCATCCCCTCTAAGGAGAGACCTTCACCCATTCCTGGTGCCAGGGCAAGCCAAAGTAAGTAATTTCTGAACTGCTCCCTTAATCTGGGGCTTTGTGAACAGAACTGAAGTCCAAGGGCAGTAGGGGGGAGCAGGATCTCGTCCCTCTGGCTCTGTCCCAGTCCCGCCACACCACCAGCACCGGGCAGCTTTCAGAGCCGATGGGCTCCAGCATTTCCCCCCCTCCTGACTCCGTGGCTCTCCTGCAAAAAAAAAAAAAAAAAGAAAAGAAAATCCAAGATCCCGGCGTGGCACTGCCTTGCGGGACTGCACCTGAACGCTTTCCCCGCACAACACCTTGCAGCTTGAACCAAAACCAAAGCGGGAATATCCGCTGCCGGCATCGCCCCCAGCCCCCGGCCCCCTCCTCCGCACCTCTGATGTCACTCGGCAGGAGCGTGAGTCAGCCCGCAGTTGCCGTGGTGATGCCGGCGATGCCGGGGAGCGCGGCGCTGCCCCGCTGCCCCCCGCCCCTCCCGGGCAGCGCAGGGCACCGAGCCCCCCGGCGCTGAGCCCCGGGACGTGCCATGGGCTCCCATGCCACGGCGAGCTGCCCAGAGCCCCCGGCGACCCCCGAGGCTGCGAGGATGTCGGAGGAGGCCGGCGGTAAGTCAGGGCTGGCGGGGGTTCAGCGGCCCGGGGCTGCTCCCGGGGGTCTCTGGGGGGCTCGGAGCAGCCGTGTGTCCGCCCAGCAGGACAGACAGCGGCACCCAGAGCCCCAGCCCCACGGAGAGGGGCGGCCTTTGCAGCACCCCCTTCTGCACGTGCTCCTGGCTGCCCTGGGGGTGTCATCACCCCAATCCCAGCTGAGGGGTACGGGACTGGGGTGATGAAACCCCAGGGATTGCTCTCAGCCGGCTCCGATCCCCGCGGAGGGAATGGAGCCTGAGGCAGGGGGGTGCTGGGCTGGCAGCAGCCTGGGCACGCTGGGGAGCGGGCTGGGATGGCACAGCACGGGGGCACCAGGGCCGGACAGCCCCGCCCGTGTGGGCAGCACCCACACCCGCTGGCCGAGTGAGCAGCACGGGGATGGGGACAGAGGGGCCACCCCTGTCTCAGCAGGGCGGGACCATCACGAGCCACGCTGTGGTTCATCCCCGGGTGCTGCCCACGGTGTCGTGGTCACTCTCCTCGCCCAGACCCGTCCTGGTGCGGGGCTGTGTCCTGCCCACATCTCTGCCAGCCTCGGCAGCTGCCAAAGCCACTGGAAGGGTTGTGGGGGAATCTGGGGATGGGCACCCCAGGGCATGCAGGACCCCCTCTGTGCCCAGCTCTGCAGCTGGATGGACACACCGTGTGCCCCTGGGCTTTGGCATCCCTGCCAGGATGGGGACCAGGCTGGCCACTGCCCTCCCCTGATCCTGGGAATCTGCTCTGAGTCCCACTGCCGGTGGATCAGAGGCTCTGGCATGGTTTGATTCCCTGCTCGGTGTCTCAGTTTTACAGTCCTCAAGTTCTTGCTGTAAATAAGACCTGGACAAGCAGGATGGAGATGTTTCAATTCCTCTGACTAATTTGTACATTGCTGTATTTCTCTGGCTGCGGATTTAAGGGTGTTGGAGCGTGTGCAAGCTGGCTGGGGCCCAAGCGGGTGAGGAGGGCAGTGTTTGCCTTGGCACCTCCCTGCAGGCAGGGCAGGAGGGGACAGGGCTGCCAGGTGAAGGATTTGGCTGTGCCACGGAACTGGCAGCAAGGGGAGCTGGGAGCTGCATCCCACCAGAAGAGCAGGAGCTAAAAATACTGAATGGGAATGAGGCAAAATGCAGTGGGAAGCCACTGCCCACCCCCGCCAGGCCCTGCTGTGGGGGAATTGGAGGAGCTTTAATTTGCTTTTGAGCAGTTTTTGCTGGACTGAAGCACATCAAAATCAATCAGAGAGTTTCTGTGCTGCCCCAGGTTTATATTTGTGGAGGAAGAAGCCTTGAAATCCAGAAATCCCAGAGGGAGTTTCTGAGCTGGCCCCAGGTTTATATTTGTGGAGGAAGAAGCCTTGAAATCCAGAAATGACAGCCCTGTCCTCAAAATATCCCCTGCATTGCAAGGCCATAGCTCAAATCTGCCACAGGGAATGGCAGTGCAGGGTCAGGTACATCCCTCCCGTGGCTGGGATGGATTTCCCAGGAGCTGGCAGGCGGCGTTTGCCTTTGTGCATCCCCTGGGGGACCTGGAACAAGGCGGCCCCGGGTTTGTTCCCTCCTCTGTGTGATGGATGTAGAACATTTTGGTGAAATCACCGTGTTGTAACAGCTTTTTGGAAAGGGCTGAGCTGGCTGTGAATTCCCACAGGTAATGCTTAGCAGGGGATCAGGATGTTGTTTTTGAGGATAACCACGTGCCAGCTCATGGCAAGAGGAGGGCTCGGTGCCATGCTGATGGATGCCAGGCTATTCCTGTGCCAGGGATTTGTACTGCTCCACAATCACAATGGCATTTATTGGGATGGTGATGTTGAGTGTGTTCCATCTTGCTCTGGGCTCCTGCACCTTGCGCAGCCGGGAGCAGGGGGAAGATGTTGCATTTTGTAATACAATTATATTTTTTTTCTTGTTTGTTTCTCCTGCCTTTCACTTATTCATTGATTTGTTGCAATGCTTAAGTGGTGAAAAAGTTGGGGATAAGTCATTCTGTCTTTGCATAGTTGTACAGTTGTGGTAAATATAGTTTAACTTGAAGTGTCCTTAGGGAAAAAAATGCATTTTAGAAAGAAATCATCTGGGGAAAAAAAAATCAACAGACCCCATCGAGACTGATTTGTTTGAGCACTACCCAGATGCAGTTGCTAAAAGTGGTTTAATGAATATAAAGATACATGTAAAGATAGAAACATCTCATTTGCTCATTAATTAGATCATGACAACACTCAAAACCCTTTCAGCCCTCACCCAGCTCGTCCCTGGGGTCTCCCTGCTTGGGGTTGCCTGAGGAATGACAAAGCATGGTGGGATGAGACTCCCAGGAGAACCTGCTGGCTGTGAATGCTATTGACCCATTATCATCCTAAACATAGTCCAGGGACTTTAAAAATAAAAAAAATCATATGGATAAAAATATCTCACAAGCAAAACCCCTTCCTGTTAGTGATGCAGGCACTTAGAAGCCACCACAGCACTCCCAGAGCTGTAATTGCTGGAGGTGAGCAGAGGCCTGGGGATGGAGCTGGGGAAGGAAGCTCTGGCTCCCAGCAAGGAAGGCAGCCAGGGTGAGCTGTCACCCCTCCCTCTGCCAGCTCTTCCCCCTGGCAATAACAGAGTCATTAATTAATGTTTGCACAGCACTTTGAAGATAAGTGCTGAACACAAGTATTCTTTTAAATGTGGTGGGGCTTGTCCCTGGCTGGGGGGAAGCCCCTCTCTGTGAGGAGCAGAGCTGCCTGTGCTCCCTGCCCGTCCCATTTCTTGGGTTTGATACACATCAAACACTCCAAGCAGCAGAAAAAGAAATAAATCTGAATAACTTGTTGCACTCATCAGCATAACAGCTGAGTTGCATATACATTACCTTTGAAATAATATAAAAGCATGAATGAAACAGAGCCCTACTACCTGCACTTCATTTGTTTTCTTTATTTACATGAAAAATGCTGCTCGTTGCCTGTGGTTCCCTGATGCACAAGGCCTTGCCACTGCATATTCTCCACAGAAGTGGAGATAAAGAGCTGCTGACAGCGGCGCTGTGCCTCAGAAACTGTTCCTGTGCTGTTGGGAACGGCACTGAAGTGACACTGGAGTATTGCTAAGAATAATATCCTGCTCTGTGCTCCTTGGGGCTGGCTCTGTGAGGGGCTGTCACAGGAAACCACTTTGGACAAGGTAGGAAAGGACATGTGGAGCTGTGGGAGCAGCGAGAGCACGAGGGGGCTGCCAGCCCCCCACTCCCCCTCGAGTGATGGGACCAGTCTGTCAGCAGATATTTTAAGTGTCTTCTTGACCACATCTCCTTTTCCTTCTGGAATTTCTAGTGAGATGTAACTTTTGTTTTGAACTCTAGTATGCGCAGAAGGTTAGGATACCAAATCTGATGGGCACAGAGGAGACAGACCCCTGTGCCCCCGGGCAGTGCCAGCACTGGCCCCACGCTGTGACCTCGGATATTGACCTAAGTCAATCCTGGCTGGGGATATTAAGTGCTCAGCACCGGGGCAAACGAGGCCCTGCAGAACTAAGCACAGGGAAGCAGCTACAGCAGGGTTCAAAATGAGTCCAGGCTGAAAATAGGGCCCTGAGGAGAGAGCTGCAAGCAGCCAGGGCTGTGAGTGTGCACGAGCTGCTCGCTGCTCTGCTGGGGCCGTCTCCAGCTCTCATGGCTGCCTTGGACATTTTGCAAGGATAAGAGAGAAAAATGTTCATTCATTTGAGTGTTTTCTCTCACTGCTCCGCAGAGCACAGGCAGCAGCTGTTGGGCAAGACTGAAGGCAAAAAATCTCTTCCCAGAGAGAGCCTTTATTGGCTGCTGAGGACAAGCTGTGGCTGCCCATCCTTGGAAATGTTCCAGGTCAGGTTGGATGGGGCGTGGAGAAACCTGGGATAGTGGAAGGTGTCCCTCCCACTGCAGGGGTTTGGAATAAAATGATCTTGAAGGTCCTTTCCAACCCAAACCACCCCAGGAATGGAAGCTCTTCATCTACATACCCAGGACCTATCTTCAACCTGTAAGTCCCCAGCCACAGCACATTTATATTTTTACAGAAGATACCTTTTTTTACAACATTAATTTAGATCCGCTGTCCTCAGGGACATCAGGTATTCTGGGAGGTGACACTCTTATTCTATTTGTAGTCTCCCAATATTGATAATTGAAACAAGGTGGAAGATACCAAAATCTCAGGCTTTTATCCAGTATGGCAGAAAACAAGCACGAGGGTCCAGTTTGCTACCTGCAATGAGTGTCATGTGTGAATATGATGATTTCTCAAAGGAATTGCCTGCTAGTAATTAACCTCAGAGCTCTGCTGGAAGACAAGTTGTGTCAGTTCACGTGTACACCCACTCTCAGTGCGTGAGGAATCCAAGAGACTAATAGGAAAATTATTTCATGTAGAAAAGAAATATATTACCATTTTCCAGAATAAAAACCTTGGAGCGTGTTTAGTAGTGGAGCACAGAAAGAAACAAGCAGCACACAAATTACAGATGAATTTGTTGATGCTGAATATGGGAGAGTCATTTATTTTCTCAGGGAAAAGGCAAACACACTTAGCAATCCACTGGTGACCCTCCCACTTTAAATGCAGGCTTTTTATCTCCAGGACAAGTTTGAGGACGCTGGTGTGGGATGATGCCGAGTTCTTGACAAACCACTTCATCATCACCCAGAAAGTTTCCCAAAACATCAATTTCAGCTTCCACTTAAGGACATGCAAATGCCCTCAATAACAGAGCTTCAGGGAATTACCATAGAGGAAGAAGTGGCAGCACATTCCACACCAGACTGGAAGAGGTGCAGAGAGGAGAAAAAGGGGCAGAGCAAGAGGTAATTCCAGGGCCAGGATCCTCCGTGCAGCAGAGGCTGGGAAAGGAGAGCCTACTTTATACTTTTCCCATTTTTTATTCCAAGACTTTCAGGAGTTGATGTGATACTGGCTTGGTTTTATAGGGGTTTTCTGCTGGCTTCTTAGAGCATATTTTTGTTCCTGATAAGTTTGACAATTTGATCCTTCCTCACCTCAAGGAAAAATATGTCAGAGGAAGATGCAGGTCAGTTTTCTCCTGCTTACACCTTCACCCTCAACACAGGTCACCTGCTCCAGGAATCCAAGGCCTGTTCTGTTCCTGCTGTGGGTCCATTGCCCAATCCACCAGGAAAATGAAAACATTCTTCTCAAATATAAGGGGATTTGGATTCAGCCTTAATTCTTAATCTAAAAACAAGAGCAGCTTGTTCTGATGATAACGCCACAAATCGACAGCCTGTAACCACTGTGCTGAAAACCAAACCCTTCGAACAGAGATTATTAAACAACCAGCAAGTTGTTTGCAAATACAATTTAATTGCACACAATCCTTCAATATGGGAGAGTGATAGAGGCTGGAATAACCTTTGGACACCAGATCGTATTTCCTGGTGACACAAACAAAGAATGCCCTCCCCTTGCACTTTGAGAAGACACAGGGAAATAAACGTTAAATTTTAAGACAGACCCAAATGAATCTTTAACGGTTCTGAAATATTCATTTAATCTACCAGTTACATGCAGCAGGAAAAATAATTTATGAGAATCATAACAAAATTAGGTAGAGTAAGGTCAGTCTGCTATCGCTGTTGTGCAGCTGAACTTATAATCATGGTTTCAGTCGATGGATATGAAGATAATTCATCTGGCCAGCACAGGCATTAAAGGCTCGAAGCTCAATCATGCAGCTTCACTTTTCAGACGAGCCCTAAAACTCACTTGTGATGTGAGCTAATCTGCAGGATCCGGTTCTGGTCACGAGCCTGGTACGCAGTGGTGGCCAAAAGTGCACAGAGCTTTGGGCACCACAGGATAAGCAGGAGCTAAAGCTGTCAGAGAGCATCCAGAGGAGGCCGTGAGGACGGCTGGGTGTCTGTGCAGGGACACAGGCTGTTCTCGGTGATCCCGGTTCCTTCCAGCTCAGGATATTCCATGATCTACCCTAGGACTCTGTGACCCGATTGCTGTGCGGACAGCAGGAGACAGCGCTGGGAGACAAGAGCGTGTCTAACAGCAAAAAACCCCCACGTCTTGAACCTGTCACACATTTCTTGGTGTTGGTACAGATCATGACGTAAAGCAGGGAAAGAAATTCTCTTTTTTGCCAAGAAACATAAGATGTATAAGGTTTCAGCCTGAAAAACTGTCATCCTTTGATGGTGAGCAGGGAGTAACTCAGCAAATCTTGGTAAGGTTTCGGCCTGAAAAACTGTCTGTCATCCTTTGATGGTGAGCAGGGAGTAACTCAGCAAATCTTGAAGGACATTATTTGTAATACCATGAAGAAAAATATTGCTGATACTTTTTGATACAAACCCAATGTTTTATTGAGCTGTGCTGACAACAGAGAGAAATTTAAACCCTTCCCGCACTTAAGAAAACGACTGCTTTGCTACAGAGGAATCTCTCAGGCACCTAAAGGTTCCCACAGCTGGTGCTTTTGTGGTGAGGCAATTTCTTCGGCATTTCTGTGCTTCCCAAAGGGAAGGCTGGGATGTGATTCCGTGGGGTGAGGATGGGGATGGGGGCTCAGCAGCCCCAATTCCATCTCCTGCCCAGGAGCTGATTCCCCAAACCCCTGCAGACCCCGCATTTCCCCCGGGCTGTGGCCTGGGAGAGCCGGGACCTGCCTGACAGGTCACTGGAGTGGGACACAGCCCAAGTCACTCTCATTCACCCCATTTTGAACCAAAGAGGCTCTTTCTCCATCACGACTCCCACAGGCTGAGCCCTGGTGCTCCCCCGGCAGCCCTGGTCACCACCTGCCCCTCAAGATGGTGCAGGGGATGCGGGCGGCAGAGCTGTGAGGGCGGGAGGACCGCGATGGTTGTGGGGGCGTGAGGTGGGGCGGCTCCATGAGGGTCATGGGGGGCTGTGGCTCCGTGAGGGGCCGTGTGTCCATGAGGGCCGTGTGTCCATGAGGGGCCGTGTGTCCATGAGGGGCCGTGGCTCCGTGAGGGGCTGTGGTTCCATGAGGGGCTATGGCTCCGCGAGGGGCCATGGTTCCCTGAGGGGCCGTGTGTCCATGAGGGGCCGTGGCTCCGTGAGGGGCCGTGTGTCCATGAGGGGCCGTGGCTCCGTGAGGGGCCGTGTGTCCATGAGGGGCTATGGCTCCGTGAGGGGCCGTGGTTCCGTGAGGGGCCGTGGTTCCATGACGGGCCGTGGTTCCATGAGGTGATATGGCTCCGTGAGGGGCCGTGTGTCCATGAGGGGCCGTGTGTCCATGAGGGCCGTGTGTCCATGAGGGGCCATGGCTCCGTGAGGGGTTATGGCTCCGTGAGGGGCGGGTCCGCTCTCCTCGCGCGCGCGGGCCGGGCGCGGTCGCCATGGCAACGGTTGCCTGGCGCGCGCGCGGGCGGGCGGCG